CCAGCCGGACGAAACTTCCTTCTAAACTTGGATGGGGCCCATAGCATGGAATTGATCCTTGAATGGATGGTGATACTTGACGTGATCCGGCAATGGTTTAAATTCTAGTGTAGGTGCCTGAATCATCAAAATTAGCAAGTTAGTATATAATAAAATCGAAGTTGGAGAAGATGGCTTACTTGCTTGCTCCAACACAAACTCAATTACGAACACCACATCTTTGAAGGTTGCAGGGATATGGGACTTGGCCAGATTTGGTGTTTTGAGTGTTATGACTTGTCCCGTGTCATAAAATCCAACTTTTTTGGGAATTTTCGTCTCAAGTGTATCTTCTTTGATGAATTCTAGACATTCCCCATCCACTTCTTGCTCTTGATTCGTTGGAAAGGTTTCGAAGATGCCTCTCTCACCCTCTTCTTCCTTGGATTGCATAATCCTGCAAGGAATAAGGACATTTGGTGAATCGAGGTCAGGACAAATTGAATTTAGGCTTACCTTGGTTGTAGTAGACGGCATAGATGGCATATGGGGTTGCGACAAATGTGGTTCTTCCCTTGCCATGGCCTTGTTATTCTCCTCTTCTTCGAGCAGCAGCTGTTCATCCATGTTTTGGCTTGGTTTGGATGTCTTGGGTTCACCTCCAACCTTCATAGCACTTCCCAAAGTGATAGCATCATGGATTTCAAAATCTTCCTTCAAATTTTCAATAGCTGAGTTGGAGAGTTTACTTTGCTCTTGAATTTGTGCCATGAACTCCATAATTTGCCTAATTTGCTTCTCCAATTCACCCGTCTTCTTGGCTTGATTTTGCATCTCTTTGTTTCCATTTTCTACTTCCTGGTTCAAAGAGGTGAGTAACTTATTAAACATATCATTATCCAAAGACGTACCTAAATTGAATTGGGCAGATTGTTGTGGTGGCTGCATAGGTCTTGAATAAAACTACTCTTCTTGCTGCCAATACCTATCTTGTTGGAATTGTTGAGGTTCTCCCCACATGTAATCTGAATAATCTTTCCAATTCGAATTGTAAGCGTTGGAAAACATGTTGTCACATGATTGGCTATGGCCTTGATAAGCCCAAGCTTCTTCATTCGCAGCGAATTGAGAACATTGATGAGTTGGATATCCTTGCCCATAGGACACACCATATGTAGGGACATTTTGCACTGTGGTCCTTTCGGGATATTGTGACAATTGAGAAATAAGTTTCGCCAATTGAGCTTGAATGGTAGCAAAATCCATGTCTTACTTCTCTAGTGCCTGAAATCAAGGAAACAAAATTAAATCATTTATCAAAAGTAAAACAAAAAAAAAAAAAAACACAAACAGAAACAAAGTCAATAACTAAAAACAAAAGACATGAAAATATACAAAAAGAAATAACAAGGGATTAGCAAAGTTGCTAATCCCCGGCAACGGCGCCAAAAATTTGATGCGAAAATTTTCTTAACACACAAATTAAACTCTCTTGTTGTAAAATTGTAGTATAAATGCAAGTAGGGATCGTTCTAAACCGGGGATTAGGAGGGCTTGCTAAAACCTCTAAACTGACTTAAAAACATATAAACAAAGTTAAAAACACTAAACTAGACTCAAAGAACTTAAAACAAACTCAAAGGACTCAAAACAAGCTAAAAACGCTTAAATCTGCCTAAAAACACAAACTGGGTAGATTTGGACTCTAACACACTTTTGGGACACCTAAAAACACAAATCAAAACAGATTTTGACTAATAAAACACTTTAAAGTAAAGGGGGTTTTGGTTTTGACGAATTTGAAAACAAAACAAGTAAATTAAAGAACTAATGAAATCTGCACGAATTTGAGTAAATTGAATGGATGGAAGGCTAGCTAGAAGGTTCTTCTCCACACATGACATACTTGCACAGAAACCAATTTTCAGTTGTTCTTTCGATCAATCATGAAACTCAATACCCCAGGTTAATTAAGTCCGCTTAAATTTACCTTCAAGTTCTCCTTAAGTTATTGAATTGGATGGGAAAGCGCATACAACAATTCAAGAATTCTTCAAAAGTTCTTTACGTGAACAGCATAATAAAGATACAATCAAAGATCATTAAGCATTATGAAAACTATAAGTATTGACGAGGCATTCGTTACTATGATGAGCATGAAACTCCTGCCAAGAATTTATTTAACGCGATCGTTTATAAGCGACCTCCACTACTTGTGAATATAAGTTTGTAACTATTAGGTGAAACTCCCTTATACTCTAGCATCATATTCATGCATGCAAACTAAGTGTGCACTCTTAATAAACATACACGAATAAGTTATCAATCAAGCAGTTAAACAAATTGAATTCACAACTTATGAAATCACAACTGAAGGTAATCAAATCATATTGCAAGCATGAACATGGTTTCGAATTCCCCCCTAGCTAAGGGGGGTTTAGTTCCTCATACTCATAAAGCAAAGATAAACAAATTTAGACATTGAAAACAAAAGAATGAAAACACCTAAAAACGCTCCAACAATCCAACTTGAATGGCAAGCACGTCCAAGGGTCCTCCTTCTTCTCTTTGTTGCGGCACAAGGTGTCGTTTGATGGATGAGTGGTAAATTATGGTGGTGGATGGATATAGGTGAGTTATGGTGAAGGGTGGATGGGTGGATTGTGTTCTATCTGGTTTTCTTCCCCCTTGTTATGGTGAAGGGTGGATGTATTTATAGGCTAGGGAGAGGACCACCATCTAATTAAGGTGGTAGTGATGAGTGTTGTGGTAATGAGTGAATGTAATGGGTGCGGTGGATGGATGTTTGGTAATTAGTGGATGTAATGGGTGTAGTGGATGAGTGTTTGTGGTAATGAGTGGATGGATGTAATGGGTGTAGTGGATGAGTGTTTGTGGTAATGAGTGGATGTAATGAGTGTAGTGGATGAGTGTTTGTGGTAATGAGTGGATGTAATAGGTGTAGTTTTGGTAATGAGTGGATGTAATAGGTGTAGTTTTGGTAATGAGTGGATGTAATAGGTGTAGTTTTGGTAATGAGTGGATGTAATGGGTGTAGTGGATGAGTGTTTGTGGTAATGAGTGGATGTAAAGGGTGTAGTGGATGAGTGTTTGTGGTAATGAGTGGATGTAATAGGTGTAGTTTTGGTAATGAATGGATGTAATGGGTGTAGTGGATGAATGTTTGGTAATGAGTGGATGTAATGGGTGTAGTGGATGAGTGTTTGTAATTGTAGGTCAACACACTTACACATACACACATGCTGATTTCTAACATTCTAATCTTCAAAAACGTCCATCCTCATGTCTCCATGCTTGCACTATCCAATCTTGGCCCAAAAATGCTCGAAAGTGCTCCAAATAGCACTTTGTTGCCAACTTTGTTATTTGAACCTACAGACACACGAAAATAGCTTAAAGTACTAAAATAACTAGAATTAAACTAAGTAAATGCCAAGAAACAAGCTCACTAAGTTGCATAAATATACTCCTATCACCTGCCTCGACCGCCACATCGCCGACGCCTAAAAGGCTTGTTTGTCACTTCAAGCTCTTAGTTTTTTGAAGGAGAACGTGAGGGCAATTGGGTCTAGAGGTGGGGTTTCGTCGCTCTTGGACATTTGTCAAGGCTGCATGCCCAGCTTGCAGGCTTCGGCAGTGAGTGTGCTGAGAAATTTGGCTGGGTTTGCTGAGAAATAAAAAAAATTTGGGTTTTTTTTGTTTCAAAATTTGTTTATTTATAGGGGAGTAGGATGAGTGGCAGGGGAGGGTTGGGGGGGGATGTTGGTGTAGGTGGGTTCTGGGTTTGAAGTGGTTCTGGTATTGGGTTGGGGGAAAGTAGGAGCAGGGAAATTTTTTGATGGGGATAAGGGGTGGGGTGATGGGTTTGTAGGGGATAGGTCCGACCTTTTTTAATAAATGATTTTATTTTTTATTTTTTTAATATTTAATTAATTTTTTAATCCAATTGGGCCAAGGAGTGGGCCCCGCCTCAATCCACGTCAACATTTAACGGAAGAATTGACAAACAAATTGATGAAGGTATGACACTGAAACAAATTCGTAAGATCAGGTATGACATTGAAACTGTGGTTGGCCCAACAGTTAAGGTAGTTTTATGTAATTTACCCTAGAATATGTAATGTAGTGTGTGGGTTATAGTATTAGAATACTTAAAGTATGTACTATGCTAGCTTTGTAGTTGGTTTTGGATTTCAGCAAATTGTGAAACATCAGAATTATTAAACTATGCATATAGTTTTACTTTCCTTACATTTTTTAAACTCTTTGGATTTATGAGCATCCTCTGATCTTAGGGTGGTACAAGAAAAATTGAAGAATGTATTGGAGGTGTGTTTAATTTTCGCTTAAACTACTCACTTGCATTATTTATGGTATAGATTGGTGGTTACTATGCTCACACCTTAAGCTAAATTATGCAAGGCTCTTCATTACAGCTTATGTTTATTTTTTTATTTTCATTGTTGGGCTTTCTTACCAATAGATGATTATATTGTGCTTGATATAAGTTGTCTTTTCTTTTTGGCAGAATAAAGATAATAATTGTGGATCAATGTTCGTAGCACTACATTCGAACTCCTCAATAGTTGGTTAAAGTGGATATGGAAAACTAGCATTATAAGATAGACATATCATAGGATTGTAACAAATACTTTTAAATTTTTTACATTGATTTTTTGTGTGTATGTAGCTGAATATATGATTTGATTAGTATAAAACAATTCTTTCAATAAAAATTGACATTGAAAATATTATTAATTCTAAAAAAAAAATGTATTTGTATCCTTTTAATTTTGTCGACGAAGTTGGATCATCGCAAATGTATAATTCCAACGACTCTTGACCATCACAAATATGTTTGTGTGCGTATTTTCGATAATTCTTAATTGTTGGTAATGGTAATTGCGACAAGTATGCGCTCTTATAAATAACATTTTATTGTTGGAAAAACATTTTTCGACACAATATTTTGGTTGTAAGAAAAGTATCACACAAAAAAATTGATGTTGTTTAGAAAGTATATTCGACAGTCATACAAGTATTTGCGACGGTCAGACAAGGTCCTAAAATTTGGGTTTGACCTTTAAGCATCGGATATGGTCATATTCTACAAAACGAAAAATCTTTTGGGGGAAATTGAGCATTCTCATGTCTATTTAAAGAATAACGCTAGAGAGACCATCTATTTAGACCATGTGCACATTGTTAGCTTGCTGACTCACCTTCTTCTGTTCAACTCGCTCTATGTACCCTTAACAATGCTTCCTCACTGCAATTTCAAGTTACAACTTAATTAATTAATTAAGATTAGCAAGTGACAAGGAGGAGGATGAAATTTGTATGAGACTTTCCCATTATTTTCTCAACTTTTAGAATTTTAACACTCGAGGGGCGTTCAAGCATTGATTGAAGGATCTCGAGGGCTTAGTTGTCCAATTTTTTCGTTGTAACGCAAGAGTAATGCTAAACAACCATCTCTGTCCCACTAGTTTAATTATCTTTGGATCTTGAATTAACAATAAATAAATAAATAAATAAATAAAAGAAGGAGAAAAGATAAAAAGGTCATTTTATTGACTTCTTAAATCACAAAGAAGAATGCCTAACTATCACCCTCGATTTAAAAAAATAAATAAAAAAATGAAGAAAAAAAACATTAGGAAGACATAAGTAATTCTGTGTTTGTCACTACAAACCTGTGTTGATGATCACCGTTAATATCGACCACCTCCCCATTATTTCTGTCATGATCATCACCACAACCCATCTGATCAAGGAACGGCTTCAAATCCTCACATCCATTGGCAATCCCATTCATCCCACCACCACATTGCTTGATATCCAAGGAAGACATAGAATCCTGCATGGCCCATATGCTCACATCTTCATGCAAATGTTGATGATGTGGATGTGCATGTGGGCCCCCATTATTATTGTCACTATTGTTGTTGCTATTGGCGTTGTTTTGAACAAACACATAAGGCAGTTGTTGTTGTTGTTCTTGCGGTTGTTCTTGCTGCAGTGCAACTGCATGGTGAGGAGGCTGAGGTTGTTGAATGTAATGGAAATGCCCCATTGGGTTGCCGCACAAGCTCAAAGGATCCCCGTTAATCAATAGATCGCACGTGTTTTGATCTCCGATTTCCGGCATTTGAATAGGGTTTTGATGCTGTTGTTGATGAACTTGTTGTGCCTGAGCTCTGCATATGGCTAGCTGGTGAAGAATAATGTCGAGCTCAGCCTTGTTGTACTCGATCAAGTGCTGCATCTCGCGAATGATTCTGTAACAACCGCCAACGGGATCGTTGGCGCGAACGTCAGACTGGAAGATGATGGTGCGCATGGCCTCATCCTTGTCGGGCTGGTCAAGGTGTTTGATGATTTTCGTGATGTTGCTGACGCCAAAGAGCTTGTGAGCGTTGAGGAACTGGCGCTGGCGGTCGTGGGGGAAGTAAGGGGCTAGAATGCAGTCGGGGGCGCACTTTCTGCGCTGGTATTTGCACGCAGCGCAAGCCTGCGTGTTGCCGTTGCCTTTTGTTGACGGTGTTGTGGTTGTCGTCGAAATGTGATGAGTGTGGTTATGGCTATGGCTACTACTACTCATGATAAATTTCTTTTCTTTTTCGGGGGGTTGATGCGTTGTTGGTGCTGTTGGAATGGGATGCGTTTCCGGCGGGGGTGGTAGAGGCTGTTTTTTTTCTTGACGAGGCTTTTTTTTCTGGGGAGTGGGGAGGGGGGTTCCCTTATTTTCTCAATGGAAGTGAGGAGGAAAGGGGGAATGAGGGATGGGGAGAGATAAGAGGGACAGAGAGGCAGATATCTTAACGGTTTCTGTTGGGGAATTTTTGGTTATAAAATGTGATTAGTTTAGGGTGGTGTAAGATTAGGTGGTTTGTCTTAATTTGATTATTAGCCAAAAATAGAAAGAGGATGCTTTGTCTGTTTTTGGGTAAAGCCAAATTAACATTACACTATGAAATAATATTAATTTCCTTAAAAAATATAATTAACAGCATCGAGGTATCTAAAATACTATTAGACGTTACACTCGGTGTTACCCAGTTGTGACTGTATTGTATACACATTGCTGGACACAAGAGCTTCTCCATGCGTGGTGCATGTTAGATTCAAAGCTTAAGCCATCTCCAACGGAGAGTTCTACAAGTCCAAAAGCCAAAAAATGGCTTGATTTGCCCAAAAACTCATCTCCAACCGTTGACTAGGCTATAATTTTATGGAGCTCACCAAACCACATTTGGCCAAAAGGGCATTAGTATAGTCAAATGTAGCCCCCCACTTAGTCCTTTTTTTGGACCCAGCACCTCAATTGCATAATTGATTCAAATTCAACAATTAGATTTAAAAACATCGAACGATAATTTTATTAAATTAACTAATAAATTTATAGTATAAACTTAAAACTAATAAATTATTGAGAGACTATATTTAGTTCCTTCGGTTGAAGATGACATATGATTATGGCATGATACTGTTTATTTAAAAATAATTTCTTATAGAGCTATAATTCTCAACGGGACTATATTTAGCCTTTTCGGTTAGAGATGGTCTTAGAGAAGTGTGTTTTGGACTCGGGTCCAGGTCTTTGGTCCGATGATCAAAGTAGCCAACTCGAGGGACATTATAATCAGCTCTAGTTCGACAGGTTCAGAAAAGTGTGAGGTTGCATAAAGCAATTTTAGAGCCAGAGCCAGTACATAAAAACAGCGGCAGGAGATTCAATATCTTACGAAGGAACACAAGTGTAAAGTAAATCTCCATCTCATTCCAAGAAATTGCTAGATGATACAAAGAGAATAAATGACTACGGTTCAGCAACTAAAAACAGATACAGAAATTGAAAGCTTGTCGACCAACTATCCAAAGCTTGTCGACCCTTCCTCTTGAATTTCAGCAGTTGTGCATATCTCAATTGCAAGAAGATCTGAATTCAAAATTCAAAATGACGGTGAGAAGCCGTTCCATAATTCTTGGGACATTGTAAGTTATACACACGCAGTTTTTTGTTCTGATTTTCGGAGACAAGGTTTGATGTCAAAAACAAAAAAGTGCACACGTAGTTTCTTAATCGATAATTCAGAAACAGCAAGGAGCCGAAAGCAAAGAAATTTTCTTTATACAAGCTCTAATCTTAATAAAGGAAGGGAAGACAGTCTTACGATTCACAAACAACTGAGGTTCAGAGCTGAGGAGGTCTTCAACAGACCTTCTGTACTGTGTAATCAGGTCCCTGGAATTCAATTCGACAACGAGAACAAAAGCAAAGTGTCATAAAATTGAATCAAGAAACCAACATATTTACTTAGTATTAAATACAACCAATAGAGCACTAGAGTGTACACACTTCCTCTGATGCAACGATTGCTCACTTTCTTCCAACTTCTGCTTCTGTCTGTTACGATTGTGATTAGTCTGATCGCAATTAGTAGTTTTCTAGTACTTCTATTAGTAATAATCTCGTTGTTTAGTATTTTAGCCAGCTGGCAATTGTCGTAGTGGAAACATATATGTAATCAAATTGGTGGGGTTGTCCTCCAACCATGAATTAGAAAATCATTATCAATATAACAAAAAGAAAACAACTCTCTCTCTCCTTCCGTCTCTATCGTCCTCCATAGTTGTTTGGCAACTTGCAGGTTGAGAACAGGGGTGCTGAGCATCGATACTTATAACTGGTATCATCCTCTAGATCCTGCGACTCCCTCTTGTATGCCCCGCCACACCAACAATTCTCGGATGTCGACCTTGGAATCGTGCATCTCTGCTGTGGAAACTGTTTTGGAAGCTCTTCCTCAACAGATCCAAGCTGCTTCGGACGCCCGCCTCACCTCCTTGGAGACGAAGTTCTCCCTCCTCTTGGAGTATCTGCATCGAGATCCTGGCGCTCGTGGTGGCGAGGGTTCTTCTGTAGCTCCCAATCCTCCAGATCCCGATCCGTTGCACCCTACTGACGACGGCGACTGCCGTTATCTGGAGACTCCGCGATTTCCTCGTCGTGACTCTTTTGACGGCGGTTTCACTCCGCGCCCTCAGTGGCCGCATCGTTTGGACTTTCCCTATTTCACCGACGGCGACGATCCTTCCGCTTGGATCTACAAAGCTGAGCAGTATTTTGCTTATTATCACACTCTAGAAAATCAGAAGGTACTGACTGCTTCTTTTCATTTTGAGAATGAATCGCTGCAATGGTTCCGATGGCATGATTGCATCTGTTCCACTTCCACTTGGCATGAGTTCACCACCGCACTGTGCCAGGAATTTGGCTCGTCGGATTTCGAGGACTGTACCGAATCCTTGTTCAAGCTCAAACAAACAGGTAATCTTAAAGACTACATACTCGAATTCCGGCGTCTCGCTAATCGTACTACTGATGTTGGCCCAATTCTGTTGAAGAGTTGTTTTATTGGTGGATTAAAGCGAGAATTAAAGTATGATGTTAAGTTGCTGCAACCTATTTCGGTGCATGATGCCATTGCTCTGGCCGTGCAAATTGAGGCTAAGCTCCTGGATCTAAAAAATGTCACCCCTAAACCTGTTCCTTCGGCCAGACCCAACCTTCTCCCTCCTCCCAACCCGGGACGGAACCGAGTCCCTGCTTTGCCTTATAAAAAATTAACCCCTGAGGAGGTGCAGCGAAAACGAGACCGGGGTGAGTGTTGGTTTTGTATTGACAAGTGGGATAAAGGACACAAATGTGCTCATAAACAGCTTCTTATGTTAGATATAATTTCTGATGATGAATGTGGAGATGATGAACCAACTGATCTTCCTGTAGAGTTACAAAGCATGGCATTGAGTGAGTGTGCCTTTTATGGCACTAGTGCCAAAACTTCGGTTCAAACTATGAAGGTGGAAGGGTTGGTCAAGAATCATACTGTTAAAATACTGTTAGATTCTGGAAACACCCATAATTTCATTGACTCTAGATTAATCAAGCAATTGGGGTGTTCTGTTCATCCAACAAAGCCCTTCGAGGTGATGATTGCGGATGGGGGTAGAGTGAAAAGTCAAGGTTGCTGTAGACAGATGCAGTTGACAGTGGGCCAATATAATTGCTGCAGTGATCTGTTTGTTTTACCTCTTGGGGGTTATGATGATGTCTTAAGGGTCCAGTGGCTAGCCACAGTAAGTCCAGTCCTGTGGGATTTTCAAAATCTGACTATGGAGTTTCAAGTGGGATGCCAGCAATTTAAATTGACTCACTGTGCACCTTCACAGTCTCCCATACAAGATATTTCGTTGCATCACATCAGTAAAGGGTGCTCCACTTCCAACTTGGGATTATTATTATATTCTTTGGAGGTTGAAACAAGTGACACATCTGAGCTCACTTTTTTCCTAATACAATGAACTGCACACGGTTTTGAACAAATTTGAGGTGGTTTTTACTATTCCTTCCACATTACCTCCCTCACGGACCCACGACCATAGGATTCCATTGCTTCCAGGAGCAAAACCCCCTAATATCTGGCCTTATCATTATGGACCTCTACAAAAAGCTGAAATCGAAAAAGCAGTCTTGGAATTGCTGCACTCGGGTTTTATCAGACCTAGCCGAAGTCCTTTTTCCTTTCCCGTTTTATTGGTTAAGAAGAAGGAAGGCACTTGGAGATTATGTATGGATTACAGGGAGCTGAATAGCATCACTATCAAAGATAAATATCCTATCCCACTCATAGATGACCTGTTGGATGAGCTATTTGGGGCTAGGTACTTCTCCAAACTGGATTTAAGATCAGGTTATCATCAAATCCGAATGCATGGGGAGGATGTGGAGAAAACTGCCTTCAAGACCCATGAGGGCCACTATGAATTTTTGGTGATGCCATTTGGCCTTACCAATGCACCAGCAAGTTTTCAAAGCTTGATGAATGACATTTTTAAACCTTATCTCAGGAAATTTATATTGGTATTTTTTGATGACATATTAGTTTACAGTAAAAACTAGGAGGAGCACCTATCTCATTTGCACCAGACTTTGGAATTGTTGATGCAGCACCAATTATATGTCAAGAAGTCTAAATGCTCTTTTGGTCAGCCATAAGTTGAATACTTGGGTCACATAGTTTCATGTGATGGAGTGGTAGCTGATCCCACTAAGATCCAAGCCATTTTGAATTGGCCAGTCCCTAGGAATGTGAAGGAGCTGAGGGGTTTTTTGGGGTTGACAGGTTATTACAGAAAGATTGTACAAAACTATGGCAAGATATGTCAGCCTCTGTACCAACTCACAAAAAAAGATGGGTTCATATGGTCTGAGGCAGCAGAGTTAGCTTTTCAAGAATTAAAAAGGGTCATGACATCTCCTAAGGTGTTAGCCCTACCTAATTTCTCAATTCCATTTGTTATTGAATGTGATGCTTCTGCAAATGGAATAGGCACTGTCCTGCAGCAACAGGGAAAACCCATTGCTTTCTCCATCAAGACTTTGGGCCCCAAGAATCAGGCTCTATCCACTTATGAAAGAGAACTCATAGCTGTGGTGCATGCTATTAAAAAGTGGCAAAATTACCTCCAGGGGCAACATTTCATCATCAAAACAGATCACAATAGTTTGAAATATTTTTTAAATCAAAGAGCCACTACTCCATTCTAGGAAAGTGGGTTT